TTTCCTTTGCGGCAGGTGCTAGAGCAGCGGCACGCATACTGCAGACCGACAATAGCTGTGTTCCTCGATTTCAAGAGTGCCTTCGATTCAGTCGATCGATCGATACTGTTCGAAATATTTGCGCGGAAAGGTGTTCCCACGAAATATGTGAACATCCTTCGTTCTTTATACTAGAACAATACAGGCCGCGTCAGGGTCTACGGTGGCCTATCGGATAGCTTTTCGACTACAAGTGGCGTTCGTCAGGGTTGTCCGATGTCCCCATTTTTGTTCAATTTCGTCGTGGATTCTATCATGGAATGTTCCCTGACGGAACCCAAAGATGTAGGCGCTGAAGTGTTGCCTGGTGAAAGGTTAGTTGATCTAGATTATGCGGACGATATCGTCTTGCTTTTCGACGATGTTGGGGCGGCACAATCAACCCTGAATAGCCTGTCCAGAGTGGTCCCATTATTTGGTACGCACTTCGCACCTTCAAAGTGCAAAGTGTTGCTGCAGGACCACCAGCCACTTGATGACCCCTTGACGCTTGCTAATGAGGAACTCGAGGTGGTTGATCAATTCACTTATCTTGGCAGCTGCATCAGCAATGATGGGCGCGTAGAAACTGACGTGAGCTCACGCAATGCAAAGGCCAGAGCTGCCTTCTTGAACCTGCGTCATCTTTGGCGACAGAAGGGTTTTCCTCCGTCTGAAAGGCCGGGTATACAAGGCCACAGTGAGGGCCATTCTGCTGTATGGTAGTGAAACTTGGCCACTTCGGTCTGAAGATCTGAGGCGCCTTCAAGTCTTTGATCATCGTTGTTTGCGAAGCATTGCTGGTGTCGGATGGCACCAGCGTATCCCAACGATGGTGTGCGTAGGCGAGTACTAGGTATTGATAATCAAGCTAGCACCCTAGAACAACAGATGGCACTGAATAAGTTGCGTTGGCTTGGGCACGTGCTACGTACGCCTGGTCACCGCTTACCTAGGAGGGCCTTGTTCATTCTGCCAGGTGTAGGATGGCGCAAGACTCGATGTGGACAGAAGTCGACTTGGCAGCGGAAAATGAAGTCACTGACAACCAAACTGGGTGCCGTTGGTCCATCTCGCCTTCCCGGTTGGAGTCCACGTGACTCACCTTGTGCTTGGCTCGAGACTTTGCAGGACATGGCTCGCAACCGACACCAATGGCGCGTCTGCTGCCGTCTCCTAATCGGATTGTCTGTTTAAAGTGTGTTTGGTGCTGAGTTATCTGCGGGGTAATGGCTGATTATGACGCGGGGCAGTGAAAGCCGCAAGGAAGCTGTCTCGCCGATGCTGCCTTATCTTTGCACGATAGCCAGCTGTTTGTGACGGTATGTTGTCTACACAATGTGTAGGCGCCTTGACCCTGAATGTTTGCTTAGGGCATTAAGGTTTTCAGGTAAGTCTCCCTCCTCTCCCTGTTCTTATTCTTTATTTCATAGGTCCTCATGGTTGTATGGCAGCGAAGCATCAGTTCAAATGGCTGATGTACTGCTGTTGATGATGATGATGATGATACCAGTTCTGAAACCTGGTCCATCAAGTCGACAGACAAAAATAAGTTAGCTACGTTTGATCATCGCTGCAATCTCAAGTTAGCTCGTGTCTGGTGGTAGAACCAAGTGAGCAATGAGCGTGTTCGGCGTCGCGTGTTTGATGCAGGAAAAGTGAGTGAACCGCTAAGCATCATTATATCATGCACCAGGCTCCGATGGCTGGGTCATGTGTTGCGCATGGCAGCACACCAGGTTCCGCGACGTGCGTTGTTGGTGCGACCTGGGAGTGTAGATGGAAGAGGAGGAGGGGAAGCCAAGCGATGACTTGGTCGAGAGGAAAGAAAACCCTCATTTCGAACTTGACGTCGATTGGTGCATCCCGATTGCCGGCTTCGGGTCCCAAAAACGATGGACACGTCTGGTTGAATACGGTTGTTTATATGGCAAATATTCGGCCTCAATGGCGTTTGTGTTGTTTCTTTGTCCTTCCTCTCTAAGTTGCGTCTTCAAATACGATCTCACTCCATATGTATAATGGGGTATGTAACATTATATTACTTGCCTCTGAACGTTTATTGCAATCCACAATTCTTGGTATTTTATGTTCATTGTATTGCGTAGCCTTTCTTTCTCATATAAATGTCTAGCGGGCCATGAGCTATGTCATTAGGAGCCACTACAGAAGCGACGACGGGTCCTACAGAGAATTACGGCGAGCCGGCACAGCGTTTGTAGGCACGCTGAATTCGATTTACTAACCGCGTGCTTGCATGCTAAGTCTCTTTATTTCAGGTGGTGGGTTTACAGTTTTTACCATAATGCTTTTCTTTCTCATATAAATATCTCCCTGTACTCTATTTCATTAACTTGCACACATCGCCTAAGCCAGTTGTATTCGATTTCCATAATATTTTTGCGTTCGTGGCATTCCGTGAACTATACTTTCTGACCTCGTGCACTTAGCTAGGATTTGTTTGTAATCAACTTATTACATATGCTATTTAATTAAGGTTTATATCACCGTTTCCTTATGCATTAATCGAGTTTTTTCTCTTTTTTCTTTCTCTCTTTCAAGTGTTTGGCTGTTGTTTGATATCCCCGGTGTGGATGCGCTTGATGTGCATGTTGACAAGGTGCCTACCTGTCTATTACCCACTACCTCGTCCATACTGGCTCCAGAGACAGTTGGTCGTTGCTGGAGGGGACAGGGTGCACGGTCCTTGTGGCCGTGTTAGGATCAAAGAGTGGTTCCATGCACTCAGTGTGGAGCGGACTACGGTCCAGCCACCGCCTTGTGTGCGCTTGATTCCCCAAA